TAAATTACATGAATGGTCCCTGTGGTTTGGAGGAATTTGTGTTTTTGGTCCCTAACTTATTTTTTTAATTCGGATGGTCCTTACTGTTTATTTTTGTTGCGCGTTTAGTCCCTGCTTACCTAAAAAGACTATTTTGCCCTTATTAATTTATTTTTTAATTAATTTTCTTATTTATGTATTTATTTTTTATATATTTAAAAAAATTAATAGACCCCACAAATCTGTATCTCCTCACCATAAACCTCAAACCATTTTTGAGAAATTTAATTCAGATGATCCCTAGTGTTTTTTTTGTTGCGCGTTTGGTCTCTGTCTTACCTAAAAAGACCATTGTGCCCTTATTAATTTATTTTTTTAATTAATTTTCTTATTTATGTATTTATCTTTGATTTATTTAAAAAAATTAACAGACTCCACATACCTGTATCTCCTCACTATAAACCTGAAACCACGTTTGAGAAATTTAATTTGGGTCTTACCGGTCACATCCCATCTCTCATCCTCCCCAACTTTTATTTCTTTTCCATCTTTAGTGACATCGACGTCTTCATCATCCTTCTTTTTTTGGTACTTCAACTCTGGCGAACCAACACCATAACCTACTGTTTCTTCATCTTTAGTGGTTGTGGTGTTGATTCGATGGAGTTGAAGGACCAAAAAAAAAGGGATGGTGAAGACGTTGATATCACTAAAGATGGAAAATAAATAGAAGTTGAGGACGATGAGAGATGAGATTGTAAGGAGATACAGATATGTGGGGTCTATTAATTTTTTTTAAATATATAAAGTATACATACATAATTAAAAAATAATAATAATAAAGGCACAATAGTCTTTTTAGGTAAGACAGGGACCAAACTCGTAACAAAATTAAACAGTAGGGATCCTCCGAGTTAAAGAATAAATTAATTAAAAAATAAACAGTAAAGATCATCCGAGAAGATACAAATATGTGGGGTCTATTAATTTTTTTTAGTATGTAAAAAATAAATACATAAATAAGAAAATTAATTAATAAGGACACAATAGTCTTTTTAGATAAAACAGGACCAAACACGCAATAAAAATAAACACTAGGGGCCATCCAAGTTAAAAAAATAAATTAGAGACAAAAAACAAAAATTCCCCCAAACCACAGGGACCATTCGTGTAATTTACTTTTACTTTTCGTTTTGTTCATATTTGGGTAACTATTTTTTTGTACACTTCTAGGTAACGAACTTGTTGAAAGTGTTCACATCTAGGATTTAATCTGCTATAGCAGGTCATAATGGTCATATGTGAACACTTCCAACAAGTTTGTTACCTAGATATGTACAAAAAAAAAGATAGTTACCTATATGTGAACATACCGAAAAGTTAATTACCTTGGTAAGTCATTTTCCCAAAAAACATAGTGTCAAATTAGATTTCTGATGTAAAATTAATTACTTTTATGCTATTATCCCCTTCTTTTTCTCTCATTAACATAACAAATAGCTAAATTTTAAAAAGAAATTGTATATTTAACATGTTAGAATAATATTGATATAGCATAAATTTTAACAATGGTAAATAATGAGAAATTAAATGTCCTCTTATATTTTTTCATATTTATTTTCATATCCATGTAAAACATTGTTAGTGTCATATTTTTACAAAATTCACGATATTTTAAACATTTGTCATCATTTCATATGGAAAATACGTAGGAAGAATATAAGATGATATTTAATTTCTCGTAAGTAGTATAAACAATTAGGTTTGAAGCCCTATAAAAGTTGGATAAGCTGTTCAAATCTGATAAATCAAAAATAGTTTCATCCGATCCAAGATAAAAAAGGATTCGGTTAGAAAATGGACGAGTTTGTCAAGGTCTTCGTTATTCCGGTTCGTTTGTCTTTATATAAGAGTCTTCTGTAACTTGTCAAAAATCAACCCTAAATTTTAGGTTTTCACAAAAGGTTTTAGTCATAATCATTAATAAATCATAAAATCATTTTCTGACGTTACATCAACATAATCTTAGTAAAAATGCGGAAGCTAAGTCTTGTTTGAAAACCATATTGTAGCATAGAATGGATAAATTGGGTGTCATGCCCCTCTGAGAATGTCCAAATATCTTCAATCATGTTGGCTCCTTGCCCTTCGAACTTGAAGGACCTGCAACTAAAAACATTAAGTAACAACTATAAGTCTAAGGTTTAGTGAGTAGTTATAACACTCACCCATTATACAAATCATATACATTTCACATAATAACTTCAATTAATAAATCACAAATTAATTACATACTATCACATAACGTATATGTATTTCCTAACACATATTGTTGGTACTAACCATATATTGCTTCTCCCGAAGGATCAATCATGATCATCCAAACTAGGACTGGTCACTTTTCCTAAAGGGTCATTCATGAACATCCAAACTGGGACTGATCACTTCTCCCGAAGGTTCTGTTATGACCATCCAAACTGGGACATATTACTTCCCCCGAAGGGTGATATTTTTATCTTTATACATATATTTATGCATTATTTAAATACATTTGACCTATAAATTGATATATTTTCAGAGATATGATACTTAATATTATTGAAAGGTTAAATTACAGCTAAAATGGATGTTCGCATGCAAAATGAAGCAAACGGAGCTGAAAAAGACACAAAAGACACAAAAAGGACGTTGCTGGCAGCTTGACCACTCGTCAATACTTTGACCATATATCATGACTCATAGCTCTGATTGACAAGATTCAAGATATTCTGAAAAATAGACAAAATTTTGGATGACTTTCATATTTATGAAAATCTGATTCCCAGTTCCTATGCCATGAAAAAGTCATTTCCACGGTGTGGCAAAACAAAAAAATCCATGGACGGGAAGATTCCATCTCCCACGGTGTGACAAGTTGTTTAGTAACATCCCGAATCCTGGATGAGAATTTAAGAGT